GATCGGAACCTTGGCTGCAGTTTGCATCAGGAACCGCACGCGTATTCTGCAGAATTCGCTGATATGCGCTGAACGGCACCGTCAAGAACGCATTTCCTTTTTGCTCGGGGCCACGTATTCGTCGTTGCACGTCGGCAGTCCCGTAGCCATTCTACTCAAACGTTACGCCGCATGAGAATCCTGCATGGCCATTTGCATATATCATCCATCAACCAGACAGATCGCGAGGACACGTTCACCACGAGTTTTTCCCGGCGACATACTCTATTCTCAAGTGCGCATAGTGCTGTTGTCTTTCCTCAAACTACTATTTAGGACACGAGGAAGATGAAGAATACGACGACCTACAACAGATGGAGACGGGGTTGGGAGATGTCTATGAAGAGCCAAGTGCGGTTGACGACGGCGAGCCGTCTCAGGCGTCCAATGGGCGAGATTCTGGCATCGCCCCCGGTGGTCTAGCAGCCCTTATGGATCGAGTGGATGCACAACTAAGCGTGGACCAAAGCTTTCCGGACGTCGATCCAAACATCTTTGGCGGCGAAGGCATGGAGGGTGGGGGGCCTGTGTCGAGTGACGACGTGTATGACGGCGGAGAGGAGCACTACGGTGGTGTAGAATCGAACACCGAACAGCGTCGACAGCATCTCGAGCCGCCAATTGAGTCAGACAGTCGTAGCAGCGCGAAGCAATGCGTAGGCTGGAAAACCTTCACACCCATGCCCCGTCTTGTGCTGTGAGGTCGACGATGGAGGGCGGCCCTGAAAACCTTAGGCACAGCACGAATGCGGAAGAATCTGATTTCTATCCGTTCCGCACGAAGGAACAGCAGCTGATATGGATATGGCAGCACACGCACCAGATTTCGCAAAAAGCCTTAGGCGGGCTGCTGGACATACTCCTTCTCGAGGACGAGGGCAACGGTTTCGACGTGAGGGTACTGGAACTTGTTAAACGCTGCGCACTTCAACAACCGCATGCGGCAATACCTTCCTCTTCTACGGGTTCTCGAGCGAAATTTCCCGTCAAAACAAGAAGGGAAGAGCTCTGCGGTGGTGTATGACGTACCTGTGAACCCGCTTCTCGCTCGCGACATGAAGCTGGTCTCGGAGACAGCACTCTCAGAAACCTACGCGGCGGGGAAAATTTTGCGCGGAGAGGAGGCCGCCGCCAACTCGTGGACGAGCGACCATGTCAATTGTATCCCGACCAAGCTGGTCGACAACATGAGGGAGTCCAACATGAACGGTGCGCTGTCGATAACGTCCCCATTCATGGGGATTGATGGCATACAGAGCAGCGTTTGTGGGAGAAAAGTGTACGTACACGACATATGCATTTGCGAAATCGCTGGCACGCCTTCTGCCTGTCATCTCCTCGAGCTCTTCTGGGACACTGCAAGCGGCGGAGTAGTTGCAACTGCTAGAGGGTTTCGGCCAAGAGCGGAGGTGCGAAATGTGGGGCAGGCGGAGATGCGAGGAGGACTTGTGCGAGTCTGTGAAGAATGTACTGCTGGAGCGGAAACGCAGCTCAATGTTGCCGGCGTCCTGGGCCTGGCGGAGATCTACA